GGAATCTGTAATTACTGATGCCTATTTTACTTTCAGTCCGCTTAAGGTATAAGTAATCGTCAGACCTGACACCAACACGTAAGTCAGACACACCCCGGTTGACGCTGTTTAATTTGTTCAGTAAAGATTGTCTTAGAATAGAGCAGAAGACGTGAGAACATTCTAGAAAGGCGCGTCGGACATACTGCTTACCGTTTCCAAGTTGAACACTGTTTTATGATACAAAACAACAGCGGCATCTAAGTTGCTTCTTTTGCAGCTGTGAACTAACCGATATGGAAGTATTTGTTGAAGATTCTTGTGAATAGATAACACAGAATTTCATCAAGCTTCTTAGAAAGGAGGTCCAAAGTTTTATCCTGTCCTAAAAATTGAAACAGCTTAAGTGACTAGGGACATCTTCGGACAGAAGTGGCTCACAGAAATGGTTTCAGTGGGACAATAAATATCAAAACAGAATTCAAGATTACATATAATCACGTTAACGGTATTTTACAATAAGCCTGTAGTGGTATTTGTCCTAACCACACAATGCTCAAAGCTAAATCTGAGATAAAAGGGAAAATAGATGTTCAACATTAAACACGGAGAGATGATCAATAGTGATGAACGCGGGAATATTCATACATTCAATCGGATGGCATGGCTCAGGCCCGCAGTCGTCGTCATTCTGTATAACTTGTTTTTATTTATATTAAATATATTATCCTATCTTAAGCCCAAATGTGTCCTTCAGAAGTACTAAGTACCATATTGTTAATTGTTACGTTCGGTGAGTCAGTGTAGACAATGATGTGACTTCTACGTAAGATCTTACCGATCAGGCAGTCACATCGTGACAGATCTAAAATTTTGTGATTAGGTCTATTATTATAATAGTACTAATAGCGAAGTAGACCATAATTCTATAAGTCGTCTTTAAACAATCCCAAATTAGTTATATGAAACATGTTTTTCAGGTTTTGGATATGTTCTTTAAACTGCTTTCTTTATTCGAATTTCTTTTTCTGCTGTTGCAGTCCACTTTCTCCCGTCTTGTCATATACATTACGTAGAACAAGAATAATTTGCTGATCAGAACTAGATAATGGAGCACATGTTCCCACATCATTGATGAAAACTAGGACTTAGTGGGCATTCAAACGAATGAGAAAATCTAATTCATCATGGCGACCTAGTGATGAGAGAATGCTACAGCCACATGAACTAGAATCACCACATACACTTAAAATTGAACCAGTGAGGGCAGTTATAACAAATTCAGTAAACTCATCAGAGGAAACAGACAATGCAGATGATGTGAAGTCCGCAGTCACGTAGATTCTGGTAGTCATAAACATATGTATATTTATTCAAGTGTTTCGGACGGCATCTTGAAGTTTAACAGTCGATAAAAATGTTTGAAATCTTGAAACGTTAAAAAGTTGATCGATATCAGTTCACATTTCTTTCAGAAAAATCACCCAGTTTTCATTGACACTGAACAACAATACTTCCTGATCTATAGAGCAGGTGAGATAGTGTTTCACGAGAGTTAAAAAAGATGTGTTTTATGACGCCAAACTCTTCTGTGTCACTGACGTCAGTGATTTTGTTGATCATTTTGTTAGTCTCAGGAAAACATAAGACACTCGGTGGTGTACGATAGATTAAAACAGACTGCACCTCAATGGAACAATTGCCACTTGAAAACCAGTCAAATTTCAATAGTCAAACTTCATGGATCTATTTAAATTTGTGAAATCTTGTTGTAATATGTCAGACCTCTCATTTTTACTTAGTTTCACGATTTTGTTGTTGATATTGTTGCAAAAAACAATATCAATCCTTCACATAGTCGGTTTATTAATCAATGGATTGTAGGAGTATTTGAAAAAATGTATCTTCACTTCTCTGACATCTAAAATTGCTATCACTAGGTCCTCTTGGTGGAACTATTGGACCCATTATTCCTCTTTGATTCGCAACATGGGTGTCTTCGATTGACCATATTTGACAGTGAGATATTGAGGAACGCACAATAAAACATTACATACGCAAAGTGGTCTTATCGCGGTATTTATACGCACTTACCGTAAATAAATATGAACAGGACGACTCGTAAACGAGTTGTTTCAGGCTATTGAAGGATGGTCATGAACAAGAAAGAAACTCGGAGCTACTGCAATGTCGCTGAGGATGGACAAGACGCCCGACAAGATGAACTAATTGTAAGTAGTACGGTGGATCACGGAATATTGGAAAATTGAACGAGCGCGAAATATTCTACACCTTCCAGATCTTCTCTATCAAGTGAGATTAGGCTGGTCTTCTTTGTGTTGTATTTGAAAGTCTTGGTTTTTCCACTGTGTACGTTGAGGCCTACTGACGCAGAAGCTGATGCAAAAATATTTGTCTTTATCTGCATTTGTTTGTGTGCATGGTATAGAAAGGCCAGATCATCTGCGAAGTTAAAATCTTTAATTGATTCCGATATGTCCATTTTATTCCGTGCTTTCCCTCAGATGTCGAGGTTTTTATAGTCCAGATGGAGACTAAGCAGCCTCGCTTGTCCCCGGTTCCTACTTGGAATGCATCTGTCAGCTGTCATGCATGCACGACTTTTCACTATGATCCGTCGTATGAATTCCATATGATGTTGACGATTTTCTCAGTGTCGGGGAATGTTTCATAAGGTTTTCCCATCAGCGACGAGTTTCATTCAACTGATTGTTCGACGATGATCCGTATTGTAGCAACTTGGACTAAACACGACCGATACTTGCGGAATCCAGCCTATTGTTCTCGAAGTTAGGCATCTACTGCGTCTTTCATCTGGTTCAGTAACACTTTGTCGAAAACCTTTCCTGGTACTGACAGTAGTGTGGTGCCTCTGTAGCTTCCACATTTGCTCAGATCTCTTTTCTTTGGTATCTTGATTAGGTGTCCTTTCTAGTTCATCAGAACTTGTTCTTCCTCTCAAATCTTCCTGAATAAAACGTGGAGAGTGCTTGCAGTTGCTTCTATGTCTGGCTTCAGTGCCTCAGCTGGTAAATCGTCAGGTTCTTCTGCTTAGCGTGTGGAGCATTTTCTTCGTCGTGACAAAAGTACAGCAGCATTTCTTCCGTGTCTAGCCTTTGTTGTCCAGCTAAGGTCTAATCGGTTCTACTTATTCTGAGCACCTTCAAGTTGTGAATCCTCATTTACGCTGCTATTTTACTGGTCCTCCTGGTCTCTTATATTGTCCTGATGTTCCGTGTGCTATTTTTGACTTCCGGGGAACATTTTTGGGCTTAGGACAGCATCTAAACTTAAAATAAGAAGACGTTACACGGAGTGACCAAGCCTATGGGGACAAGCCATGCCTTATAGATTAAGCGTTGCCTCGTTAACCATTTCTGACCTTTTATGAGTGTTAAATTTTGAATGGAAATCTCAGTTATCACATGTTTAGTTTCTAGGATCATACGGTTGAGAACCAATACCCTTAGAGACACATCAGTAACAAATTTCATCTAGAGTACTAATTGTTTCGTAAACTCAAACTCATGAGAAACGTTACATTGTAATGATTTGCGCAAACTGTGACATTAAAGTGTGTTTTGGCGGAAAGTCTTCAAGAGCACAGTATGTAGAAGTGCGAGATATAACAAGAAAAAAGTTTGAAGCTCAATATACATACATAATTTACTCATATTTAAAAGTGAGTACACAAGTCAACAAATAGTAATATCGCGGGTGTGTGACTAAAGGGACAAGGAAATCAAGACTAAGAACAGTAACATGAGGTTTTGCGTCCGTAACGGATTACCCTTTGCACAAGGTTAGCACGTGTTTCTTTTTGACGATCCACCAAAATTATCGGAAGTACCCGGAGATCTGTACCAGTATCGAAGAGATACCATACAGTCATCATCATATCGGTGATGTGTAATAGCTTTTTACTACCTCTGGATAGATAACGTCTGGAGGATAACAGTGAAGAAGTCTCCTCAAGTAACAGATATGGTGGAAAAAGGCATTTTTATCCACAGTTGTGAGAACACTCGTATGTATTATGGCAGTAATCCCAATAAATTTTGTTGTTTTCATGTCCTTAGGGGGGAAAGGCTTCCGTGAAACAAGTATTCATGGAAATCAAGACAATGATTTATGGAATACAGGAAACGGATTGTAAGTTTTTGGATATGAAAAAGATGGTTTCATATAGTCCGAGGTTTTTCCTCAGTGAAGTGAACCACAGTGACATTGGTTCTGGTGATCACCTGAACGCCGACTTTGGAAGAATCTAGTTTATGTTCCAGGTTGTTTTGAAGCGAGACGGAAATTGCGTGAACTTGACGAGAAAGAATTCGACGATGGACCGATTATTGGTGTTCGTTGTCCAATAAAATTTTTCGCACTTAGGAACATTTCTCCTAGTGATTGCCGTATTAACAGCTTTGTTGTTCTCAATTCAATGCTTTAATGGGTAATAATGTCCTGATGTTTGAAGTGACTACTGTGCTGTTGATTGTTATATTGTTGTAAATACTGTACAACAGATGAGTCTCTGAAGGCAAATTTATGATCGGTTGCAATCATCAGTCTAATAAACCCTTATTCTTATTTGAAATAACCAGAGGGACAGATTAATCATTAATATAAGGTATGTGATAAAGTAATAAAAATTTCACATTGACATCCAACCATAAGTTCTGAACTGGCTGAACAGGATTTACATAAGTATTGATTCCTTATATTTTATTTCAGAAATTTTCATTGCGTAGTCTGCTAATTTGAATTGATATCTAATGTCTTGGTAGACTGTAGATCATTCTTTGAAAACAACGGGCCAAGGACACTTAGTAGCCCTTTCAGTGCACTGAATTAAATTTAGTACCAGTATCTTTTGCGAAAACTTCACATATTTAATTGATGCTCGGACGAAATAGAAGCTGTCGCTTAACGGATTTCCATATCTAGCAGCAGTGGATCATCGATGCTTCCAGGTAGGAACTTGAGTACATTTGACGATAAATAGAAACGTGTCATCATATCATAGTAAGTTACTGTCCTTAGTCCTCAAGAATATATCGAGTTTCCCCTCAAAAGACTTATGAAAAGCTGTTTAAACCACTTCAGCTGGCAGGGGATTCCAGAATTTGACTACTCGTTAAGAACAAAAGGTGTGCCTACAGTCTGTTCTGCTATGTTGTGTCTCTTTAATTTCTAGTTGTTATCCCTAAGGTTTTTTTAGGACTGAGCCTAAGTAGGTATATAAGAGGATGACCGGTAGTGTTCAGGATGCCGTGTCATTAGGTCACGTCTGAGACGCCCATATCCTAATGGGTAAAGTTTCAGTGATTTGAGAAGTCCTTCAAAAGGTTTGAACTTGAGTCCTCGGACTAATTTCGTGGCTCGCCTTTAGATACATTCCGATGTATTGTTATCCCTTTGGGTTGAAGGAGAGAACACTGTACTTTCAGACTCCAAGTGAGGTCGAATCAAACTGTTGAAGATTAGGTGGAAAGTTTTTCCACCGAACTGCCTTAAAATACGTTACAACGTTAGCAGTACAAGGTTTGCTCGAAAGGTATTTTTTGTCACAATTAACGTAAGACTTCAGATCATAGGGTTCAAAAACCTCCAGTTCTTTTTAACTTGTGAATCCTTTAGAAGGAAGTTACCTAAGTTGTATTCGTAGTCTGCAACGTGTCTCATATGAACTACTTTACACTTTGAAGTGCCAAAAGTAAGCCCGTTATTGCCCACCCAACTTTGAAGTCGAGTCAGATCCTCCTGAAGTGCCGATTCATCCTCTTGGTTGTCCACGGCGATCAGCAGGTTAGTTACACAAGAGTGATGCTCTCTGAAACTGTGCTGTTAGGGTGGAAAAACGTCTATGGATAGGAGGTAATCACATGGACCATCGAATATCAGGGACTACATAATTTTTGTAGGTATTAAGAGATGTGCTACCGGCCGGTAACTTCACGGTATGTTGCGTCGACCTCCTTTGAGAAGTGATGTAATACGAGCCAACTTCCAATTTTCCGGTACCTTATCTCGGTCTAGCGATTACTGATTACATGGATTAATTACGAATTTGATTGTGCTACAAATGAATCTTAAACTGGAGTCAGATATTGACACAGAAGTTTCACCACATATGGATTTTCGGAGCACAGCTGTAGAGGATTTCGTTTTGTGAGAAATTGTAAGTTTTCCGGTCAAGTTTCGAACCAGAATGATATAAATGTTAAGTGCCCTATAAGTTCCAACTGTTTACCAATGGGCTACATCATTGATGAAGACTACTAGCGTAACGTTCTATAGACAAAACATTTCAATAAAACGGAGTGAGATTCAATAAATGTATCGAATATTAGGCTACTTTGATCTATTATGGTTAAAGATAAGTATCTTCTTGTTGACAAAGTAATTCAGAGTTATGGAGGATTATTTTGAGTCGGTCTCACTAGCTGTTTAGAAATTTTTCATCGGAGTTTTACTGGATCATCCAGATCAGGGGTGGATTACTTATGGCGAAAATGATTCAATATTAATATGGACAGCTAAGGTCGAATAGTAATACTATTTCGTGAATAGTCATATAATTTTTAGTTAAATTTTATCACGGTAATATCAGCTAGAGAAGCACTGAAATTCTGGGAGCATCAGGAGGCCATTTAGTGACTTTATCAGTATGGGTGTATCACTTCACATAAGGTGCAGGCCAGTACTTTCATGTTTCGCGAAAACACTAAATTATCAGGTCCCGATTCGGTAGTAAATATTTTCAACTCGAGCCAATTTGTGCTAAAAATACTAAATATCGGGATATTATTACCCACTTTTACTAATAAAACAATGTTTGTTTGCTTTGATTTACAACAAAGTTTGTTACCAGTGAAAAACAAGAATCGGACAACAATTCGATTGAGTGAGCAAATATCTGGATACATGATCGATGAAATATCAAGTGAAAGTTCTGAAGGTGGGAGACGGTTTTTAAGAAATCCAGAGAAACGAATCAATAAAAATGTTGGTAGGTAAATGAATCCTGTGGTTTTCTGAAGTTTCCTATAGTTGTGTCAAATGTTTCATTTTAGAGACTTGATAATTTTATGATATAAGGAGTTTCGAGGTTAGATAACAATTATATCTTACTGAATGAGAAGTGATTGCTTCTAGTTAGTACTTGAGCTAGGGTGATTGCACGTTTTGAACGAAGAAGCCCCTTACAAAATGAGTGAGGAGTAACACTACGGAAAGTTATCTACGCTGCAGTCATTCGGAGCGTAGGCAAAGACAACGAGAAGGTAACCTAGTGTGACTCTGTCTTTTCGACATTTTACTATCGCGTTTTGTCCGACAACACACAAACGAAAGTCTATTGGAATCCAGTCTAATAGAGCTTGTTCTGCTTTTGAACTTAATGCTATACTTACACGAGCGGGACTAAGGGAAGTGGTAGAGAGTTCTCCAGATAGTCGAAGGGTAAAATCTTGCCGGTTCCTTATGTTGATAAGGCGAGGTCGAATGAATTACCGTACTTTGACTGCGTATGCGCGTTTTGGAGACGCAGCATATACCAATGGCTGGAGATTCGACACTCTTAGCCAAAGAAGTTTGATTTTCTACCTGACACGAAGTTCGAAGATGAAGTTTGTAATGTGGTTTAAGGAGACCAGAAATAACATTTCTAAAACTCAGATCACTAGCATTAGCGGCTTGTTGAGATAAAAATATACAAGAAGGGTTAGTTGGGGGGGGGGTGGTGGAAGAATTATTAAGAGGTGAGGGAGAGATTTGATAGTCAACAAGATTATCTCAGGTGTTGACAGAGGTCTAAAGACTGTTGACACTTCTCTGGTGCCCACACCGTGGAAGGATATTTCTTCTTAAGGGGACTTAAAAAGCAGCTGAATTAGTAGTTTTAGCGATCGGGAACCGTGACGCTAAAGCTCAAGGGACAACTGCTTAAGGTCGGTCACGCACGACCTTTTTATGCTAAGATTATGATGTGCTAGCTCTGCACTTTAAAAGACCTTACTACCGGAGACGGAAGTCTGCGTGGTAAGGTGAGACAATTTCGGAGTCAAACTTTTTAACCCCTTCCTTCCGGTTTGAGATAGTAGCAGAGCTTCAGATGCTGGATGTTCGATGGAAACACCTCAATGCTGTCACACCCCTCTACAGTCAGCAGTACGACTTCATCGTAGAACATCAGGTTGCTGCTTTTGGTCTTACCGCTCTCCAACCGACCTGTCAGGCGTTTTAGGATCAAACGAAATATATGTTCCGGCCAATATAACTCGGTCGTGTCATCACAATAGGTACGCTCGACCACCACTTCGAGTTGGCAGCTACAATCGGGATACGTGATAATAATAGAAGCTTGGCTCCAGAGATCTTTTCGGACTCATGGCTAATGAACAATTGAGACCTGTAGATCAATAGGAGTGTGAATTATCGCTGCTCAAGGTTAGTTGTACCAGTTGAGGAGCATGGTTTATTACGTCTAGAACGCTAGGTTACAGAGAAGAACAGCAAGCGTGCGGAAATGAAATGACAGTCAAAATTCTGGTAGAGGAATATAGCACACGATGTCGATTAGCGTGCCAATAAGTAACAAAACTGGTAGCAGTCATATATTGAAAGTCGTTTATAATTCTTTTGTTAATATTAAGAGACGTAGCATTTGGAGTGCAACAATACTTTGTAGTATTATGTATACAGTTATTCTCACTTTTCCAAATTTGCCATATTGCTTGGTGACAGCTAATGAACTGTCAAAATAGAGGATCACCTTACAGCTGCTTTTAATGATTTGAATTTGCTCAACAGTTTAAAACCACAATCGGATACGAAATCAAATTTCGGGATTTTATGCCCACGAGGAGTTCGATACCACTAAATAAACGATTTCAAATCTCTTGGTTCTTATTTCCCAATCCATTTTTTATTGTGATATAGCACGACTGTTATTCAGTACCGAAAATTGTTGACTGCTTTTTATTTTTATTTTCCATTCTAAGTACTTACATCTTTTATTATTTTATATTGTGTGATTTTTATATTTATATGTTTCATTTCTCAATCATTAACCGGCTAACACTTAGTGGTTTAAATATTTAGGTTTTATGATGAGACTTAAGTAAGGTTTGAAATTTAGTTTTTTCTAGTTGCCACCTTGAACGATACGCCTTACAGTTGTCGCGTGGTGTCGAGTCCCAGTTGACTATGAACACTGTTACTGAAAAATACGTGCCAATAAAATCAGAAGGCGTAATAGAACCAAGTTTATTTGATTGGCGATCTTGTGGTATCGAAAGAATACCAAAACCGTGCCAAGAAATGGTACAAGCAGAAGCAGCAGAAGGGAGTACGTGCAAGCGGAGTCACTAACCGCGAAACAATAATGGAGAATAATGATAGAGCAATATAGCTGTCTTTAGCACAGTTAAACAAACGAGCACAGTAAAACAATCACTGGTACAATTCGTTATAATAATGACTGTTTCCATTAAATCAATCGCGTTCTCTTGATAAAAGTAGGTCACTACACAGTTATTAGATCTAAGTTTAAGATCCAAACGATTTTCGAAATATACAACAAAAGCTTGACCATAAAACTTTGTCCTGAAATCATTCATCATCAATTTATTACACTGAAATATGGAACTGTATTAAAAAAATACAAACTATGGTGGTGTTAGTATGTGAATAACAGATACTAATAAATAATCAAATTGACATAATAAATAAATAATATATTTGTAATATCCCAATGAGTAGAAAAATTAGATTTTCTGACGTTTCGTGACTTAGTGTGAGCCACTTCTTCAGACAATAAATAAATAAACAAGTCAAGACTTAAACCCGGATTAATTTTTTATTCAGTTATTTATTTATTGTCTGAAGAAGTGGCCCACACTAAGTCACGAAACGTCAGAACATCTAATTTTCCTACTCATTGGGATATTGCAAATATATTATTTATTTATTTATATCAATCTACCCAGTGCTCAATTTATTCGAAATTACGCAGTCAAACCTTGGTAATGACACCTACAAATTGACATAATATTTAAAAAGACGTAAATTATCATGACTAGATAAAAACACCTTGTTTATAGTCTTGGAGGTTATTTTAGTGGCTTGCACATTTTAAACTAAAGATATTGAGGTTCGTCTTGCGTAGACAATGTCCTCTGGATAGTCATAATTTAACGGGAATCATCTAATAACCACTTTATAATGTCAGTGATTTGTAAACTTTATAACGACTGTTCCTCTTTCATACAGAATTTCATTAATGATGTCCTGGTTATTTTTTATTTCAGATTTTCCATTATGATTTATATTAAGTTTCATAGATGACAGTTTAGTTGTTTCATTTCTGATAACCGTTTTACCGTGATGAACGGTAATTCAGTTTTTAATACTTTGGTATTTGTGTTATATTAGTTCGAAAACAATCTCCAGCTACAACTGAAGATGAAAATACTGAAGATTTACTGACACCGTTTAGTGCAGGAAAAACGTCAATAGATTTTAATAAATATTCAACACAAAGGGTATTTAATAGCAAAGTAAGTTCATATTTGTGTTTACTGAAAACACGTTTCACCTAATCAAGAATAATTAACAAAATAAAATAACATGAATTATATTTCGGAGTTCCTCATCAGTTGCTTACAACCTAAACATAATAGTACTTGATTACACGTACGCCTGTTATCCATCGTCGTGGCGCATAAGCCGTTCACCAGCATTCTCCACTCAAGTCTGCCCTGGGTAGTACTTTACAGTTGTTTCCTCTTCATGTCTTCTTCCAATTCTCAACACAGTGTGTTCTTTAGTCTTCCTATTTTCTGTTTCCCTTCAAGATTCCAAATTAGCGTTTGCCCCGTGATGCAATTTGATGATTTTCTTAATGTGTCGCATCCACCTACAGCATCTTTTCATAATTTCCTCTTCAGCTGGAAGTTCGTTTATTCTCTCCCATAGTAAGCCATTGCTGATGGTATCCGGTCAATGGACCTTGAGTGTCTTGCGTAGACAATTGTTTATAAATAATTGTACCTTTTTAATAATAGTTGTGGTAGTTCTCTATGTTTCAGCTCCATACAATAGAACTATCTTAACGTTCGTATTGAAGATTAAACATGATAGTATTGATAATAAAAAATCAGCTTACATACTTTACAACATAGCATTAAAAATGCTTACATCAGTAAAGAATAATGTAAAGAGAAAGAACACAGGCGTACTTATCGGCGTCCGACAATGGTGGTCTTTCTTGACTTAAAGGCAGCATTTGACTCCGTAGACCGCGACATTCTGTGGCAGTGTCTGTCATTGAAAGGCGTACCCCAGAAGTACATAAACCATGTAAAGGCTCTTTACTCGAACACGACTAGTCGAGTCAGAGCTTATGACGACATGTAATCTACTTTTGCAACCTCAAGTGGTGTCCGTCAAGGTTGTCCACTTTCTCCATTTCTGTTTAACTTCATCATAGACCTATTGATGGGAATAACATTCTCGTCTACTGAATTCTTGGGTATTGATCTCCGTCCAGGAGGTCCACTTATCGACTTAGAATACGCAGATGATATAGTCCTGTTTGGTGAAGGCACTGATAAAATGCAATCTTCTGGTAGCACTAAGCAACAATGCCAGAGTATTTGGAATGCGCTACTCTCCCTCTAAATGCAAGTTGTTGCTTCAGGACTGGTCTGTGTCAACACCTGAACTAAGGATAGCGAGTGAAGTAGTCGAACGCGTTGACAACTTCACTTATCTCGGAAGTCTGATCAGCCCTAATGGGTTGGTGTCTGACAATATCTCAGCACGGATTCGAAAAGCTCGCTTGACTATTGCCAACTTACTTCACCTATGGCGAAGGCGAGTTATCCGTCTATCAATTAAGGGACGAATATACTGCGCGGCAGTTCGTTCTGTTCTACTTTACGGCTGCGAAACGTGGCCATTAAGAGTAGAAGATACTCGTAAGTTGCTAGTATTTGACCACAGATGCCTTAGAAATATTGCTGGTGTCTGTTGGGATCACCGGTTAAGTAATAGTGAGGTTAGACGCAGGGTATTAGGGAATGATGGTAAATCAGTCGATGAGGTTGTGAATCTTCATCGACTGAGATGGTTGGGTCACATGTTACGTATGCCTGAACACTGATTACCACCATGCGTAATGCTGACTAGTGTTGGAGGCGGTTGGAAGAAAGTTAGGGGCGGCCAAACCAAAACGTGGCATCAGTGCTTGAAGTCACTAACTTCTAGTCTGAACCATGTTGGTAGATGCAGACTACTTGGTCGGAGTCCGCGTGACTGTCGTAACCAATGGTTGGAGACTCTTGGTGACATGGCTCAGAATCGATCACAATGGCGTCGGTGTATACACTCTCTGTCTTCCCTTAAACTAAGAGATTAAAATCGCTTCATATCTTTCTTTCTACGAACTAATTCTTTCTCCGTGTACTGTATGCTAATTGCAATCTTTCTTTTATATATTACCACCTCTGAATTAACTACTTTTATGGATCCGGTGCCCATCTTGTTGTGTTAATGAGGTATGGCAACTTGGACCGATGCATACATGTGCCTGGTCCTACGTTGTAGCTGACTGACTGACTGAAAGAGAAATAAGTATGAATGAATCATAAGAGATGTTCATATCTATTGAATAATATGAATACTTATAAGTTGAATATATCGTTATTCTCGAATAAACATTAAAAAAGAGATATTAACATTGTTATTGTGCAAAGTAAAGTAAAATTATATAACTGAGTACAGCTTAAATAAGAAGTGTTGTGAAAAGTTGCATAATAAACATTTGTAAAAGACTTCACAACAACAGAACAAGATTGGCAACTGAATCTTGTTGGGTTCGAATCCTACGAGACGGGGTCGTGGATGCGCACTGCTGAGTCCTACAATAGGCGAAACGGCCGTCCAGTATTTCCAAGTTTTCCATGGTGGTCTAGCTTCAATTGACTCATGATCTCAACTATTGAAATTACTACAATCTCCACAAAACCCCTTCTGGCATAAATTACTTCAGCAAAACATGGTAAATTCAACGTTTTTGTTTATTTATTTATTATCTTGAAGGAATTTGTAAAGATTTTATTGTGTAATTTAATTTTATAACAGAAAACAGCTTGATTTATATGTATTTTATATCACTTATTTTTTAAAACTATCTACCTTTTTATTAATTAAAACAAACTAATGAATTAATTTTTATTTAATTTAAAAGCTGACAAATTCAAATGGGACAAAATCAAAGGAATTTGAAAAATATTGTATCAATAATAATGTTGTGAATGAACCATTAGTAGTACGAATAAATAATGAGAATGATTTAAGTAGAATTTCAGCTTTGTCCTTCAATGATAAGAATTCACTGACTGATGCAAGTAGAGGTAAGTTTATATATATATATATATATATATATATATATATATATATATATTTGTTACTTAGCTTAGAAGTTATCCTTATTAAGCCGAAATAGCTTCCTGCTCATATTGATTAAATAATACCTAGGAAAAAATTACAACGTTTGTCTACATCCTGTCAGATGCTGAAAAATTGTGAAAGCTTTTAAATCCCCTGTAAGGGAATTCAGAAAATTTAATCGAAAAGAATATTCTTCGTTCAAATACTAGTCTTTCAATTCTAAAATTCTTAGAAAACATTTAAGTAAATACGAAGTATTAACTCGAAATTAATGTAGGGGATCGCTGAAGTTAATCATAGGGTAGTGAATAGTTTCGAGTACTGAACCCTTGTCTTTATGTAATGTCAATTTTGATGGTTGAGTGGCTAATGAAACCTCAGAATAGACGAAAAACTATAAATGAAGTTTTATCAACCTCTGAAATCTGTGATGTAGACAAGATATTAGTCAACTTTTCAGATATCAGTTGTACTATGTAGGAGTCCTTTGTGTGTTAAATGAAAACCCAGAAGTGTTACAAAATGTTTTTGAAATCTTGATCTTAAAATCAATTAGTCTGTCACTAGTTAGCGACCAGTATGTTGTATTTGTGTACCTATATTCCAAATTCAGATTATCTAGTTTAATGAAATAACAGTATGACAAAAGAATGCGTGGGAGAACTTTAACTATACAATTTAGTTTAATAGATAACTTTTGATTTGTTCAAATGTACTATGGTGATTTGTGGTAGCGAAAGTAAGTATGATTGGTCACTGATTGTGGACAGATAGGAACCCGACTTACTGATCATTACACATATGATTTCATTTCCTCTAATTGATTTCTACTCCGGACACACTGTGAGTGACTGCTTGTAATTGCGTGGGATAAAGTGTAGTCTAGAGTTACTCTGGTTCCTTCTTCTTGGTCATGAATCAGGCGTCTGTGTGTAGGGGATCTTTTGAGTATTCAGTCTAACTGTATTATAAGCTCAGTCACCTGCGTGCCCTGTTAGTTTATAACGTAATGATACTGCCAACTAGAGAGCAGTGAATTATCGATCGGACTAATGACTCCTAAAACCCGTGCGAGTAGTCTAGAATCCAGATTGGTCTTGCTTTCTGCCTAGCCCAGCCAGTTAAGTTCAGAACACCAATCTCAGCCTCTGCGATATGAATCATTTAATTCGAACATACTCGGTTTGTATACCAACCAGACGGACCACACCGTGACATAAAATATGAAACAACATTTGTACAAGAATTAGCCAAATGTGGCTGTGAATAAGGGAGGTAGTAATTAATAGACAGGGCATGATTTAAGAATGCTAAATCTTATAGTAATAGTTCATAGGTCAAAATAAAGCTCATAATAAGAGGGACACGGATATGAATCGTTTAGTTACATAACAATTATACGATAAAAATATACTTATAGTATTGGTCCATAAATGGATCCCAAAAATTACCATTCATTATGCTTATCGGGACATAACAGTTAGGATATAGGGAGATAGACGCACAATGGAAAGAAAAGGTAGGTATTTTATATGAGTGAATAAAACAAAATTATAATAAATACCACAAATCAGAAAGCAACAGATAAATTTGTAGACAGTGGACATAATAGCAATTAACAAAAATAATTCAGACCTCACGTTTTGTAAACGATCTGTTCAAAGTAAATGTATTTTTAGTGTAGTGCACAGGAGAAATAAACTGAGAAAAATAGAATGATCCAAAATATTGAAATAGAAGTATGAACTGGTAAGATAAGTGGGTTATTGTAACAGAGGAATATTGCTTATTCTAATAAATAAACCATATAAAAAAATATATACACTTCAAAATATTGAATAAATAATATGACATTAAATAGGAACATCGAAAGTAGGCTGAAAATAATAAAAATAAAAAATAAGTCTAATTGTTTTCACTTGTTTTGAGGATTTACATTTGAACGCTAAGAGATATCTCTTCACCTGATATTATTATAAACGATTCAATACCATGACGCTTATTACGTCTATTATTAACTAGTATACTTTCTGAGGTACAAGTTTAAGGTTCCTACTTCAAATTTGTGAAATATGTACTGATTTAAAAATTCAATCTATAAACTTATAAGATAATTCCTTATTTACTGAAATTAAATTTCTATAGAACCTTCACGAATTGAAAGCAAAATGAGTACATTCGATGATCAATTAATATTATCTGTTGATGAATTAGTGAATGAGAATAGAATAGATTGCGGAAGTTATTGCTCAACTAATCGTTTTGACAAATCGTACAGTGAGTTTCTGATTTGTTACTTATAGTTGGGATGGTAAAACATTATTTGAATCAAAAGTAAGATACATATGAAAAGTGGGCTTTATTAGAACCTAGAAATACTGATATTAGGTTTCCAGTTAGTTGAATTCTGATATTTTATATGTACCCAATCAATCGACAATAAAGAAAACATTACTGGTCTTAAATGAACAGCATATTTATTTAAGAATGCAAGTCACAGGTAAAAATACAGTTGCTTTTTTGGCTGAAGTTGAGCCTGCTCGAGCAACCCAGGTATATTAGGACATCGATACCTAGCTCGATGTGTTAGCTTATTCATTTCACTAAAATTTAATGAGATCTCCATCAAGTGTCGAATACTCATTAAACTGTTTTTTTAGTGGTTTTTGCCTTTACATTATTTGTAGGAGAAATGGACTCCTAAATAAATCTCTTTACATATGTAGTCAAAAAGTAAACCTATTGCTCTTGTCGATAATATTCGTAATAAAGTTTCCTAATGCTCTAGAATGTATATTGTGTCAAGATATGATAGTTCTGTAGAATTTATCAAAGCTCAGTGACTAAAGTCATAGATTGAGAAGAACAGAACAGGGTTACTTTTCTTAACTGATCTAAGTAATAGTTATTTTAATATTAAAAAAAGTCTTACTGGGTATATATATATATATATATATATATATATATATATATATATATATATATATATATATGAGATATCCTGGAAATAATTTCATTGCAATCAATATTTATGAATACTTAACACTGTCCATACTTTATAGACAGGTATCTCGGAGAAGACATCACCGATGTCATCTTCAAATATCATTTGACAAGAATAGCGGTAAACCTGTAACTTACATCCCCAAAGGAAGTAGTCTGTCAGTACATCCTTATCGTGTAACTGCTACACAGTTTCTTAGATGTGATTAAGATTAGATTTTTGACCTACTCGGTTCATGTAAAATGGATAGAGAATAATTAAACAATCTATATCTGTAATGTCACATTTTAAACTAGATGTTACGGATTGATTACTGGACTATCCTTATGAAACCCTTTTAAATAGACCTTAGAAAAATGCTAGTCCATGCATTTAAACCAATTTTATCATTGATCAAGTTAAATTACCAATGTATTGTGCAAACGTTTCCTGTCAGAGAAAACTATTTCTTTCTTATTTAAGCTTGTACAGTTAAATCGCTAGTTATAATATACTACTTTAATCTCATTGAAATTGTTAAATATAAAATACTAGTAATATATACAGAATACGTGTTGTAAGCAAAATAGCCGACCTACTAGATAGATTTCAATCAGAATTAAATGATGAGACAAATATGGCATTAATAACTACTTTGTGACCGATCAATTGTAAATATGCTTCAGTCCTACAAGAGGTCAATTATAGACAGAACAGTTCAGTGGTAACGACTTAGACTGTGAAGCTGGGTGATTCAGATTTGGATCCATTAGGGAGTATCAATTTCATTATGAAAGAGGTAGATATTGCTAATGAGTGCCACACAGAATGAAAACTTCGTTCAAGGTTCCTACCTCCAACCATCTAACATGACTAACTGAGTAGCATTTAACCCAACTGAATGGAGGAGAACTACAAGTTCACTGAAATAAAATCAACACATGAAAAAGTATAATAAAATAAATTAAGTAAAGTGTAAGTTTTTATGGAAGTTATAGATTCGCAACTAGATTTGTTACTGATGTTAAATACTACTTATCAAAATATTTAATGATATTACTGATAAAATATCACTCGCAAAAAGTACTATGGATAAACAGTGACACTAGTTAATGACGATTCTAGCTACTAATCTCATTTATCACTAGAAGGATGAAGTTCTTGACATATAAGAAATCAGTGATTATTAATTCTATTTTAAGTAATTTAAAATTGATTTCAGTAGTTGAAATGTATTTATTTATTTGCTTTCTTTAAATCATGTTTGAAACATCTTATCATTGATAATTAATTGAACGTTCATACTTTCAGTTCATGTATTTCTTATTTTATTCATGTACTGTTTCAAAATGGAATGACTCAAATGTTTACAATTTCAAGCTAAAACATTTTTCCCTATATTTGAAAAATGACAAAATTCAAAAGTTGCAAGGATTTTGGCACATAAAGGAATATGAAATACTTACGCATATGTACTAGTAATATTGATTATAAAAGTAATCATTAAGAACTCGAAAGTCTTCACTATTTTTATTGACTCAAACTATTTGGTTTACACTTTCAAATCATTTTAGTTTACTGTTCTGTTTTCATTACTCAACGTTTGCTAAATGATAGCGTTTAGAGATCGAAGTAAATTTTTAAAAGATTCACACTGTAGATACTATCGAATTGATAACTCAGCTGTTAATACTCAGTGAGACTAGACAAGCCCATTCATGTCTGTTCTGTAGATCACTATTTTTTTAGCTCCGTGTATCTAGACACTTGAAACTGATTATTCTTTTCTCAATTCTTAACCACATATTGATTAACCAAATGCTATTACGTATAGCTGCTATTATCTTCCTTGAAATTGTAATCTATATATCCTCTTTATGTCATTTCTTCTCACTATTCCGTTTAAAATTTCCCAAATTTAAGGACAGAAAAAGAACATCCTCATTAGAGCAACAATGCAAGTAAGATATGCTCATAAAATAGCTTAGAGGTGTTTTTTTGCTATGGTATTTAGACTTAAAATTCTTATCAATAAAACTCATTTATCTTCTTAGATGAAAAATCACTGATAGATATTGAAGAAATTATTGAATGTGAAAACTCCCATTCATCTAGCTTGACGGAGAAGATATCTAATAAAAAACGTCCATTGGAAAAGATATCTTGTCAAGTGGACAATGAAAACAATACTAGTGAAATAGATGAATATTCAGATGATTTTGAAAATGAACAAGATCTAACTAGTTCAACTAAAGAAAATTTAAAATGCAATCTAATCACAACGCAGAAATCATTATCACTTAAAACAAAAATGGCTGATTGTTCAGTAAATCAAAAAGTTTATAATGCAGGTTCGTTGATAATGAATGATTAATTACATATATTGTGTATTTTGCTGGAGAATAACTGGTGAATTTGTTTTCGTTTAATATACTATTTTTTCAAGTACATTATTTTTCAGAGTATGGAAGTCACGTAATTTTCAACCTAATGAGTGAAGCGACTCATTGCTTGGATACTTATACACCCATAAAATTTCAATGAAATTCTTAAACTATCGGTCTGAGTGTTTTGTACGCTTTAAGTACATTGTAGTTTGCCGTGTGATGTTTGCTAGTTTAATTTTTTACGTCTTCATGATAAAAACATAGCTTGATTAGAAAGTATTTTAAGAAGTTAACAAGTGTTGATGGACAATCTCAACTAAGTTCTATCCTTGAGGTACATTAAAAATTAATGATATAAAAAACCATCAAGTAAAAGTATCCCAATCGTCATAGGATATAATTACTCCTGTAATGGAGATTTTGATGAATCTAACCTAATATATTCACTGGGTGTTTTCAATATTTTTCAGGCTATAACATTATCAACCTCTTCCTTTTTGAATGGGTTAAGCAGATATTTCAGTACAACATGGTATATTCTGTCATAATGTTAACTTTATTTGTATCATTCGTCCTTGTTGAATTACCTACTTACGCCTGTCACCCCTTGTAGAGCATAAGCTACCAACAAGAATTTTCTCACCTACTCTATTCTAAGCTCTCGTTTCCGGTTGTTATTCACTCCTTTAATGTGTGCTTGCACTTCCCGGTGTAACATGTTCTTTGGTCCGCACAACAGAAGTGTTTTGACGTTCGTACTGAAAATTCTAACTTTGATGTTGGCATACAGTTTTTTTAAGTTCCATATGTTCTTCAATTGTAGGGATGGCGCTCATGATTTACGACTATACTACCAGTTTGCTTAATTCATCATTTACCAATCACAATATCCTAATATTTTTTATCCCGTAGGTTTGTTTATATACTGTTAACGATTTATCAGGGTAGTTAGAACATCAACCACGTAGACAGATATAAAATTAACATTATGTTATTGTAGACAACAGCTAATGCAATAAATTCTTTTAAATGAAGTAAGATCCTGATAGAATTTGAAATAATATCTATGACTATCTTATGTGTGTTCATGCTATGTGTTATATAACGTTTTCTCAAACCACAAATTAGCACCTACGAATTCCTATGGACCATTGAATAAAACGAATTTACGTGAAACGATTTCATATAAAAAGTAAGTACAAATACGCTATTTGTCAAACTACCAATTATTTATCAAGTTGTATCAAATTTACACAATACTGCCCAAAACTAATAATTTACGTTTGTATTTCATAAAAGCGTAACATTTTTCAGTCGAAACCAGTGCTCAATAAAAATAGTACATAAATAAAAATTTCACCTATTCGGAGTTTGCTGAATTAGATACTGCATAGGATGATAGGATTCGATTATGATGATTTCCAAGAATGGATTTAAAATATTTGAATTTCAGTGTTATGATATTAAAATTAACTAGTAAAAACATGAGTTGCCTGAACTGATAATCTGACCATTGTTTTGATAACAAGATCTGAGACTATCACATTACAAAAAGACGTAACTATCTGGGTATTATGTGAAAGTAAAACTTTTCAAATACAAAAAATTCAATTAAAGCAGTGTAACTGAGTAACTTAACAAATAATTATTCCGAACTAAACATGAAATTCACAAGATGACAACTGGACGAGGTTGTAGTTCTGTCCGACTTATACCCTAGTCTAATTTTTATTCTACATTCTCAGTTATACAACCCACTAGGCGTTAACACTGGATTACTATTCAACGAATTTGTGCAGTTCGATAGTAAATTTTCACCACGAACCAACAACAGTTGGAGAACCACTGAAAACTAGAAGTATTAAGTTGCTGATTTTTTCCAGTCTGAAAGTTCATAAACGAAATTGACATGAAGTATTAAATCATAGTGTGAACAGCGTATAATTAAGTTTACCGACTTTTTGTGTTTTTTTTCTTCAGAATATCAAAAAACGTATCTGAAACCCAACAAACAAAGGATGCTGAAGTTCAAACAGTGTGGTCAGGTGATTTTTCACAAAACTACCATGTTCCACACAAACTTCCAATAATAAAATATGAAGAAATTCCTAATTCTACTGTTAACACTACTCTTGAAATGCAAAATATAACGTCATCGCTCATAAATTACAAAACATTACATAGTAAGTGTCATATTTCAAGAAGTTTTTTGTGATATAAATTATGATAGTTGTAAAATTGTTATTCTCTGTCGTTTGTGTAATTGGCGATCTGAAACATATATATCGAATTTCAGTACTCAGAAAAAATTTAGTGTATAATGGAGGAACCATGAATAGCAACACTAGAGACATTTTCTGACAATCATTGGGTTGATTAAACTTACTAGAGCCATTTATAATAACAATAAGTTATTGTTTTACATGATGAATATAATTTGTCAACGAAAACTAGTACGCGATAACGTTTCAAGTGAACGGTACTGGGTTAGAGTCCCGGAGTATATATCAACTCTAGGATATAATAGCATCCGACTGACGAGTCCCAAACACGATGAAACGCGCGTCCTGGATTCCACTGTTAGACATTATCTCTACTTAGAAAACTATTACAGTTAATTTGTAACATTTATATATACACCTTGTTAAAGAATCGATTATAATTTTTCTCAATTATTTTTTTAACTAGCCTTAACAACCTATAATCCTTGTTTAACTGCATTGGATAATATGTTGAAACAACAAATAAATCTTACAAGAGAATTTTTAAGAACACAAAGAAATTTACATGAAACGATTAGTAAAGCAATAAGTCAATGTGTTATTACCAACAATTATAATTAAAGAGAGAGATTTATACAGGTAAGTGATAAATATATTCAAATAAAAATTTCCATGAAACTATATTGTTTCGTAAGAAAAGTAAGCGTTTGGTCTGTCACTTATGTATAACCTACAGAACTAGTTCATTTTGAAGGTAATCTCTTGTCAATACATGTTATTACTTTATAAGCCATCGAAAAAACAGTGAATGACTTAACGACTAGTTTATTCTGGTTCAGTTTCGAGTTTGCTTCATAAGAGATTTAAAATTGTCATTACATTACATATAAATAGATCTTGTATTTTATGGAACTATGAATATGGACAACTGAACAGTCCCAGATTAAAACACTTTTCCCATTGTATCTAACACTTTACCAGCTGTTATCAGTTTGAATTTTCACTAAATCCTTCATATATTTTTGATTGTATAGCTTAAAAAATGTCACTGATTGTTGTTTTTTGTGAACTTTCAAAGTAATTAGAAATATCAGAGTAACGAATTGTTCAAAGGACTAAACAACTAACTTAAATATCAGTAATCCAAATCCTTATCAGCCATCATACAGTTTATGGGAATTTCTCGAGGTTAAGTAAATGTCTTCTCACCTTGCTTTTGGATGTGGTTTCCACAATTATATCTGATGATGATACAAATAAAATAAACTAAACTGCAGTTTACATCTATTAAAATGAAACTTGAATTCTTAGTGAAAATGTCACAGGTTTTAGTAATCGATTTAGCAACTCAGTGGTATACACTTTTGGATTTTTAATTGAAAGGTAACGAGTTTGAATCTCAGCGTAGAAATCAACACTGAGATTTATGGACATCTGATTTTTCAATCTTAAAAAGAAAGAAACGAGGGTTCCGTATTCGACTGGTAACTAAATATTGAATATAAAACTTATAATATAACGATAAAATGTGATAATGGGATAAAAAAGATAGTATAGTGACAGGGATTTGGCAATCTCAATTCTGAATATAAGAAACGAGAAATTGTAAACACTTACTAATGTATGAAATATGTTGCTAAAATCAAAATCGTGCACCATTTCTGTTTAAATCGAAATTACTTTCAATTAACATCCATGATGAGATCTACACAACTTAGCAGTTTCATGTAAATTTATACGAACAAAATGGTAGATAGATTCTCAAATGACTACTAAGATGTTTCATAATAGTCTATACATATACTTTTATTCTATTAAATATTTGAAAATAATAGATGTATATTTGTACATTTATTGAATAAAACATGTTTTATATTGAATGGTCAATTTTCATTTAAGAATTACAATGAATAGAGATTATAATTTGATTTTACAAGAAAAAATAATGCAATAATCTAACACACAAAATTAAAATCTAAACGAATATATATTTATCTATCTATTTTTATTTTATTACAGACTACAGTGAAGAGATTATAGAGAAAAAAATGACATCTGAAAAGTATTAATAATAACTTTTGAGATGTACTTCATGCGGTTCAATAAACTGAACACTAATACTAGGATTATTAATATCATTAATTTTCTAGAGTATAAATTATATTCAATTAGTTGATAAGTATATGAGAGTATAATGGTTAAGGGAAATTTTATTAAAGCTATTTAATCGACAATTTGTAATCTTTATTTTTCTTCTTTAAAACGCATATTACGAAATATGAAATTATCTTTGTATTTATCATAAACATGAAATATACTACCTCCCTCCCCCCTCCTCACTTCACTATGTAAAATATGAATAAATGTTATTTTAAATTACAGTACAATATTTATATTTTATTTACAAATATATATATATATGAAAATGTACTCTCCATGACATACAAAATTAATCGGGAAGTAACGGCATTAAACGAGCTTGTTTAGCTTTGTGTTTTTTGATTCGTTTATCTCGTGTTGTTATTAATTCATCGAATAGATCGATTTGTTGATCCTCTTCTAATTTTCTAGCTAAACATTCTAAACCGGCTAAATTCATACCGATAAGATTCTAAAATGTACAAAAGAGAAATAAGTGAAAATAATTAAAGATTTTAAGGATGTTATAACCTTATTGATGTTTATTAATATAGAGAAGTGATTGTCATTAAAACTGATAGTTCCGAAAACATTTCACTTCAGTATAGCAGCGAGTCAATATGAATAAATATTCAAAGTTAGATAAACTAAACAAATCGACACGAAATCCCTTCAGCTAAATTGTAACAGTCAGCTCACTGGTGACTTCGAAATGTAGTTCAAATTCTAGTGAGAAGTTGGGATTTTAGAGTATATTATATTGGAAGTAAGAAAGCTTTCATCAATGACATTAGGTAACCGTCGCTTTATATCATAAATGGAATAAATTTCAAGTCGTACCATGGGACGTCAACGTAATAGTTGTAATCGCTAGGCGTTAGCTGTAAGATATGAAGCCCTTGTATTCGATCCCCAGTGGTATTTTAGGTGCGAACTGCTGAAGAGTTCCGTACTAGGGTAAAAGAGCTGTTCAGTGCTACTGCTGATACCTTAGAAATTAAACCAATCTCAATAAAACCCTTCAAACAAATGGTAATCAATATAAATTGATTCTACATTACACTACTCTCATTTTTTTAAAACATTATGGTTGGAGATCGTAGATAACATGAATACAATAGCTAGTTAGAGGAGAGATATTTTTCCTTTATTATTTAGGATCCTTAGCTTTCCAACTGATTAGATTTCTACCATTGTAATGTGTGGTAACTTACACTGATACCAATCTGTGCAAGGTTATACATTGTTGGTGTCTGTCTGTTGTATGGCTTTTTCCTTCTAGTAAAATCACGACTTCCACTGGTCAAGCCAAAAATTTAGATTCATCATCATTAAAAAGAATGAAATGGAAAATAAATAGATTTTGATCAAAAACGTCCTCACTGACAAAATTCACAGTGGAAAAGGATTCGAACAACAAGCTATTATTATTAGGTGTCTTGATCACCAGGACCAACACAGATGAACCGGACACTTAGGTATGTCGGAAGCCAACTTACACAGATCAAAGTCGCAACTACATTAGGATAAAGAATCAGATCAAAGGGAGGGACAATTAAAACAAATATGCAGATAGGTTGTAGGGCAACAATACCCTATCAGGATCGACATGACAAACTACTATTTATATGTGCAGAAATTCGAATACCTCACTTCTACCTAAAGTTTGTGCTGCTGATGTTGTTCAGAAGAATAATGAAAGCTTGACGACTAAGCCATCTATCTAGAAAAAAGAAACTCCACCAGGAATAGGATATTTCCTTCTTTCTGTTTATTGTTGCCGGGTAACTATCACTATAAAAGCACAAATTACATGAATTGGAGATCACAAATATTTCGGGTGATCACTATCACCATATGTAAACGATCGATTCTGGAGCAAGTCTAGATAGTAGAATAACCTCAGTTAAATTAGATGTCTTTTGTGAGTCTGAGTCGACCTGTACAACTATAAGAACAATTTCCTTTTCTCCACAAACTATAATTAAAATGATACACACAAAGAGAAAATAACCATGTTAATCATTTATGAAATCGGTTTGCAGGCCTAAAATTATATCGTAATCCATATATTTCCTTTTAGCTTCAATTATAATTTTCACATGTATAACTAAAAAAGTAATCGATGACAGGAATAGATATTAGTTACTACTTATTTTTTTGTCCCATCATGCAGTAGAGATTTTATGAGGATCGTGTTCGTTTAAATGAAGAAAATTAGAATATTACAATAAACAAGCAGCCCATTTTTAATAGATAAATGACTTGAATATATGAAACTATAGTAATAATATGGCTAAAACAAGAGACATACTTTTGCACGGACTAATTGTTCCATCCTAGCCTTAGATGACTGACGGATTGCGTCACGTAGCTCGGAACATGATATTGCAAGACCAAAATGTAGAGTTACTAGATGACGAATTGAACGTCCAACAAGTTCTATTTCCCAACCACGTGATAACCAATCCGCTAACTTAGGAAGTAGACGGCGAACATGTTCACTAGTTAAAGCGCCCAGTGCATGTTCTAAACCTGCTCCACCACCACCTAAACGAGAATACGGTGCTCTTAGAGCCATTAAACTTTTGAGTAGAAATTTCTCTGGACAATTTGTTCCACGTGCAACCATTAGAGGATGTGGTGTTGTGTTTTTAGCTCCATTTTTACGTTTGACTATCTCTTCTTCATAAATGTCCATTGCTTCCATAAACATATCAGCCTGAAAGTTACCAATAGAAAGTGTGTAAAAATGAAATCGTTAGAATTAGTGTTGAAAAAACCTGAAATTAATAAAAGAGATTGAGTATACGGTTTGTTTAGCTGGTAAAAAAGATTTGAGTATCTTTGATGTTCATTGTGATAAAACTCCTAATGGTAAGCTACAATTCACTTGACGTGCATTGATTCTGATACGAAGCTAGAAAACTGTTAATAAGTGTATTAATGTCGCACATATTAACTCAATGTTCTTCAACAATGTATAAAAGTAGTTTTTTAGCGATTGCTAACAGTTCACAAGTCTGGTTATTCCTTTTTTCGTCCATTGTTTTTTCAATTATGCTAAAGGGAAGTTACAAATTAACCGATCACCACTGTAATGGTTGTTTGTGTATTAGGATAAGGTTGCATACTAAACTATCAGGTATACATATGTACGTATCAAAGGTACTATCTGCCTCCTCTAACATTCGAAAATGAAGTTCGGTATGAAACCAAGCATTTTACTAGTGAAGAGGAATGCCGCGAACATTCAGTTACAGTTGTTCTAAATTTGGTAGTTGCTCAAACAGATATGAAGAAAACAATTAACTTGAGTGAAGTTGAACTGTGTTATATAAACGCACGATTCTTAGTATTTACAAATGTTGAAGTTAACTAAAGTTGTGGTATCTTTAAATCGTGTTCAAGTAAATGTCTGTTTCATAAACGGTTACTCTTGTAAAGCAAAGTAGATTACAGGGAATAAAATTTCGTGAAACTACAATCTATTTGCTTGACGCACTCAGCTTTTAAATATAAGATCGTAAACTTGAATTTTGTTTGATCTAATCATTCGACATTGCACAGGTTAATAACGAAAAATATTATTTTAAAGATTCACGATAAACTTACAGCATCTCTTGTATTACCGGTTGGTCGGCCTAAAGGACCAATTTCACTAGCTTCTGAAGGCATCGCTCCAGGAATCACTGCTTCTGACCGAACCAATTCTTCCTCCTCCTCCTGTTCTCGCGCAATTTGTTCCTCTTCTTCTAAAATCAGGAGTTCATCAGCTTCCTCCCATATTCTTATGCTGAAATCTTGACCAGTAGATAAAATAAGACCTCCCCATAGTTCATCCATATCATCATCATTGCTTCCTTCGTCTTGGTTGTTCCGTGCATGTGATTTGCGTGCTTTTTCCAATTTAGGTGTTTTCTTTTGGGTCAAAAGAGCTGTGTTAGTAATCGTTGTAGCTAAAGAAGTCACGCTACCGTTATGACCCTGGAAATGATTAAAGAAATGTCAGAATTATGCATACAAGATCCTACCATATTAGCACAGGATGCTGAATAAAAATAAATTGTGCTACGTATCGTCAATCACTATACCTAATTGATCACTAGATAGTAAGCAGAAGCGATACATTTTTCTGTGCAAATCAAATCAAAACGTGAAGTTTAAAAATCAGGTGATACGACGAACTGTTGCAAACTTAAAGGTGCTTTTGATCTACAAGGTGAGATCCCAAGTTAATCATGGTGTTCGATCACTTATTTGAAAGGTTGCAATAAGCAAATAAAAAAATGAACTTTATCTTTGTTGACCAAAATTTCATCTTGTCTACTACATATTTAATAGTAACGTGAATGAACGATGAGAGTTTTAGTCTTTAAAGGAAAAATGAGTTTCACAAAAATTGATACATTTTTCTATTGGGTATAATATATAAAACATGAATTTGCTCTGAACACTAACCGCTTGCGAATATGTAACATTTTTAGGAAGGCATTATGATCAAACGAGAGATGAAGTTTCTTAGAAGATTTATTTAAAACTACCCTTATAATTAATGACACAGATATTTTATCCGTTACAGCCATTTCAGTGACACCCATTAAACACTAAATACTAAACCTAATTTGCATGAAAAACTTAACATACCTTAAGGGTAGTAATTTCACGGAACTTCTTAATATCCCACTGTTTAATCTGACCACCTTTATCGGAAGAGACAGCCAGCGAAGTATGTGGAATGAATCGAACACAAGTGATACTAGAAAATAGTCGAGAAAGAAAACCGAGTTAATTATAACTGTAACAGGCATGAAAATAATATGGTACCTAGAATCTTCAATAAGACCTAATGATAATAAACGATAACTTGCCAGTAACCAATAATTCGAATCAGTGACA